TCCCGGCACCAGCGGGAACCCGGAAGTGCTGGGGCAGCTGGCCAGGCTTCCCCAAGCCAGCTGCTCCTGAAACTGCCCAGCAGCTGAATCGGGGAAGCCGGGGGCAGAGCAGCTCCAATGGTCCGGCTGCCCGGAGCACTTCCGGGTTCTTGATGGTGCCGGACCATCAGATGCCGGACCATCGGAGTTTTACTGTAGCGTGTCCACACTAAACGTGCCATGGACTTAGAGCCCCTGGGTAGCATAGGGTAGACACTTCCTATGGCTGCTTGGTCATGCAAGCTGCGACCCATGATTTCTGGGGCTCTTTTCTATAGCCACGTTTCACACACCACTCCTACACTGCCTCCTCCCTTATGTGACACAAAACGGACACTATGTGCTCTGGTTGCCCTTGCGGCCACCACAACACTCAAAGTATGGAGCTGGAGCTGCTGCAAAGTAGCTCCAGGTTTATGCACCTCATGCTGCACATCATGGCACAGTTCTTACAAACTGCCCGCATGCTTTTCCTGCAGGACGAGGACAAGCCTGGACCTCAGTCCCTGATCACCCAGGTCATGGTGCTCCTGCTGCTGCACATGCCTCTCAATCCCCTGGACACTGTGGAAAGTAGCCTTTGCCGGTGGAAGGCCAGTTTAGAGTGGTGGGGCCATAGCATCTTGCAACTATGGGATGACCAGCAGTGGCTGCAGAACTTCCACATGCAGAAGGCCACCTTCCTTGAGCTCTGTGAGTAGCTCGCCCCTGACCTCAGGTGACAGGACACTCAACTGAGACCCTCCATCCCTGTGCAGAAGTGCGTTTCCGTTTTCCTGTGGATGCTCACCACCCTGGACAGATACTGCTTCATTGGGAACCAGTTCAGCATAGGGAAATCCACAGTCGGGGCTGTGCTCCTGTAGGTAGCCAAGGCCACCAACTAGGTGCTTCTACAGAGAGTTGTCACTCTGAAGAACATGGACAGCATCATGGATGTCTTTGCCACTATGGGCTTCCCCAACTGCAAGGGGTGGGGCATAGTTGGCATATATATCCCCATCCTGGCCCCTGACAACTGTGCCTTGGACTACATACACAGAAAGGGTTACCTCTTCATGGTGTTTCTCCATGGCTTCACCAACATCAATATCAGCTGGTCAGGGAAGGCCCATGACGCCTGCATTTTGGGGAATTCCTGCTCGTTCTGAAATATGAACGCCGGCACTTTTTTCCCTGATTGTACCATCAGAGTCGGGGAGGTGGACATACCCACTGTCATCCTGAGTGACCCTTGCTTCCCTGGCTCATAAAGCCCTATGTGGGCAGCCTGGACCCCCCCCCCACCAAGGAGCACTTCAATGCCATGATGAGCAGGTGCCGTATTGTGGTGGAGTGTGCGTTCGACCATTTAAAGGGGAGGTTCCGGAGTCTTCTCACTTGTCTGGACCTCAGCAAATGCAACATCACCTTTGTGGTGGCAGCCTGCTGTGCGCTCCACAACCTGCCTGCTGTAGGTTCGGGGGAAGGGTATTGGGGGAGGGGTGTGTGTGAGCAGCAGACACCACTTACCAGAGAGAGTGCTACTTGGTTCCCCTCCTCTTCCTCTCCCTGGCAGGTTCCCATGTATGGGACCAGTCTCTTCTGTATCTCCATGTTTCATCAGGAATGGATGCTGTCTGAGTGCAGGCATGACCCTGTGCGGTGTGCAGCACTGCTGTGTGGTTGCATGACCCCAGCTTCCTTAATGGCGGCTTGTCATGGGAAGGTGTCCCACCATGTAGCACAGAGTAATGCAGGTGTAACCCACACACCTAGGGTACGTCTAAACTACATGCCTCCGTCGACAGAGGCATATAGATTAGCCAGATCGGCAGAGGGAAATGAAGCCGCGATTAAAATAATCGCGGCTTCATTTAAATTTAAATGGCTGCCCCGATCTGCCGATCAGCTGTTTGTCGGCAGATCGGGGCAGTCTGGACGCGCTGCGCCGACAAAGAAGCCTTTCTTGATCGGCACAGGTAAATCTGGTTTCACGAGGCATACCTGTGCCGATCAAGAAAGGCTTCTTTGTCGGCGCGGCGCGGCCAGACTGGC